GACCAAGCCTGGGCATCTTGCACGTCCAAGAGCGATTCCACACAGCCTATACAAGCTCTCAACAGTGGCGCTTCTGTCTCTGGATGTTCCAAAGCCGGTATAAGTTGCGGCAATACTTGGGCGAATTTGGATCGCAACAAAGGCGGCGGCACATGGCCCGTCACCAGATCTAAAAGATAGACCACGGCATGGGCCATTTCCTTGTTTGATACACCATCCTCGGTGATAAATTGCCCCAAAAGGCTCAACAGCGCAGCGAAATACGCGGTTGGAGTCGGGCTGTTTTGCTGATGTCGCAAAGTGTCTTCTACAGCGGAAAGAACTACAGCTGTTTGTTGCTGATTTTGCAGTTTTGGTGATGAGCGAATCTTTTCTAGCTTTTCCTCGAGAGACATGGCTGTTCTGTTCTAAAGTTGGTGGGATCTTATGGAGGAAAAAAATTGGCGGAACGATTCCGCGCGGGGGAGTGTGTCAAGTGGGGCAATGCGAACAGGTGGGGATGACATCGATGGAGACGAGCATCGGCTACCTACCTATGTACACTGCAATGAGGCTCTAGATGGGGAGCATGTTGTGTGTGGCACGTGGAAGCTTAAAGGTGAGGTCTGTCGCAAGGTCACAAAGGTGGCGGACAAAGAGGTCCCAGGACAATGCGCATTCGTTATTTGATGACAGTTACAGCTGAGGCTCTCACAGCTTGATCTAACAAGATACGATCTGCTGATGCATTTTAGATAAGTTGTTGTAATTGACTATAGGCCGTCTCTCTCCTCCATGACGGATAGACGCCGTGCTCATGACGCCCCCTTTGATTGGCTCAATGGACGGCCAAGTGCGTAGGTGGGAATGTGAAACAGTGAAATAGGAAACCGTCGCACGGTGCATGAGCTTGCAGTAAGGCTATTCAACTTAATCTGTGCAGGTTAGAATAGACGATGGTGGATATAGATAGATCAGCCGTAGCGTTGGTCCAAGCCCGAGCGAGGATGGGGAAGCTCCATTGTGCAGCACAAAGTGACATTTCCGATGGCGGACCCAAGAGCTGCCTGTGACTAATGCTGCACGCTGACCACGACGGCGCATCCTCAGCCGAACGCTGACATGATGGGACATCCAGAGACGGAAGCGGCAATGGCCGACGACAGAGAGCGCGCGTCCGAGACCGAGTCGGACGCGTTTGAAGACGCCGCCGATTCGACCGTGTCAGCGGCCGAGGACGCTTCGGGCAGGAGCGAGGCGGAACTGGACGTGCCTGATCTGCTGCAGAGTCCGTCGTCGCCCAAGCAAGTCATGGACGAGCCTGCCGACGCCCTGACGCCGCAGAGAGCCACCGCTTCGCTCCACCAGCACAGCTTGTCGGCCGGATCAGAGACGGTTGTGTCACCCCATCTGGCCTTTTCGCCCATGAAGGATGTCATTGACCTGGAAGCGCAGACGCTTTCGCCGCAGAAGACGACCATCTCAATGGAAGAGGCGGCCGACAACGTGCCGGCCATGGCCACACACGACTTCTCTCCCCGGAAACACGCCCATTCACCCACCAAGGCGCGCACGCGGGAGCATTCGCCAACGGGGCAAATGCAGCGCGAACCCACCAACGATGGTCCACAGACCGAGCGTCCGGGCAAGAAGGTTAGTAGCATGATTGGCATCGCCGGATTCCTCGGCCGAATGAATAGCATCCGCAAGGCTCGATCGCCTTCGGCCCCGAGACCAGAGCCGAAGCCCAGCAGCGACCAGCTTGCCACTGAAAAGGTCAGTCTACAGGACCAATTCCAGTACCTTCGCAGCCAGGGCGAGTTTGCCCGACCCGAAGCTGAAGCCACACCGAAAGCCGAGCGGAAAGGGGGGAGGCGGCACAGCGACCTTCGCGGCACTTCAAGGCCGACCGACATCCCGAGACCACGTCTTGAACGGTCGACGACATTCAGCGCTGTCAAATCACCCCCGCTGAACCCCACATTGCCCCCAGGCACAGCGTCGGGGCTAACGGCTGGACCATCGGAGGAGCAGAAGCCTGTGAACTGGGATCTATGGCAGGCATTGGTCTACGAGGGCCCGTCGGCGGTGCAGAAATCCAGCGGAGCGGAGATGCGGGCGGCCATTGCGTCGGGCATTCCGCCTGCCATCCGCGGTGTGGTCTGGCAGGTGCTTGCCGAGAGCAAGAATGAAGACTTGGAGAGCACATATAGACAGCTCAAAGCCCGGGGACCAGACACCGAGGAAGAAACGTCGGGTAGCGCCAACTCCAGTCCGTCTGCTCAGTTTGAGGCGCCGCATTTGGAGACGCAAAAATCTGAAAAGGCCAAGCATGATGCCGCTGCTCTAGCCAAGCTCGAAAAGGCCATCAGACGTGATCTCGGCGCTCGCACTTCATACAGCAAATACACACAGTCGGCAGAGCTGCAAGAAGGCCTGTTTGGAATCTGCAAGGCGTATGCATTGTATGATGAAGGCGTCGGCTATGCCCAGGGCATCAACTTCATATCCATGCCCTTGCTGTTCAATCTGGCCGAGGAAGACGCATTTACTCTGCTGGTGAGGCTCATGAACAAGTATGGCCTTCGTAGCATGTTCCTGCCAGACATGTCGGGTCTCCACCTCAGACTGTACCAATTTGAGCGGCTGCTGGAGGATACTGATCCAGCCCTTTGCTGCCATCTCCGGCGGCGCCAAGTCGGTCCAGAACTGTATGCCACCCAATGGTTTCTGACCCTTTTCGCCTACCGCTTCCCTCTGCAGCTTGTCTTGCGTGTTTACGATCTAGTTTTCAGCGAAGGCCTGACGGCAATCTTGAAGTTTGGCATTGTCCTACTTCAACGCAACCGTGCTGCCCTTCTTGACATGAAGGATATGTCCCAACTGACTACCTTTCTGAAGGAGAAGATCTTTGACGTCTACATTGACAAGTCTCCCACTGCCAGTTCGCTTCTTGACGCGGGCTTCTTCGGCTCAGTGACGGGTGGAGCGGATAGGGTCCTCTACCGCGCTGACGAAATGGTTCGCGATGCCTGCAACGTTTTCATCCCTGAGAAGTCTCTTACAGCGTATGCGTCAGCGTGGGAGGAACAGCAACGCACTGAACGCATGCACGCAGAAGAACTCGAAACTTTGCGAACCACAAACATCTCCCTCTCTGCCCGCGTCAAGTCTCTGGAGGAGCGGTGCCAGGAACAGGACAAGGAACACGTCATCCTGGCTGGAGATCTAGTTAAATATAAAGTCGAAAACGACCGCTTAATGGATGAAAACGAAGAGCTCAAGGTCAAGGTAGTTGAACTGCAAAAGGTGGTTGATGCACAACCGGAGGAGGTGGAAGAGAAGCTTCGCAACGAAATGGACCGGATCATGAAGCGGAATATCGAAGTTCAGAATGAGAATCGTAATCTCAAGGAGGAGGCCGAAGAAATGGAGACGGAGCTTGTCAATACGAAGATGCAACATGCTCAGGTGAGACATTTACATTCAAATAATGCTAGGATGCTGACAGTGAACAGGTTCAAGCCGACAGAGACGCAATTAGGAAGAAACTGGCCAGTGTACAGTCTCTACTGGGGCGATAGTCTTGGAATCATTATTGTCTTTTTCACATTTTGGCAGGGCTGCAGGTATATACGATTTGGAATTCGGCCTGTCTTATCTTTGCCATTGTCATTCCTGTCATTGTCGGCATCATGATATTCGTCGTCGTCATCGTCGTTGTCATCATCATCATGTCCTACGCATCACTCTGGGCTCGATTACATGCCCCTACCTGTTATCATCGCCACCACCGCCACCACCACCAAAAACAACCATTTCCCCAGTCATCTCCAACCTAGGCCTCAAAACAAACCAAGTAATCTCATCCCAGAACCTTCCCCCCTTCCACACAGCATAACATCTTTCCCCCTCCCTCCTAAACCCAGCCTTCTCCAACACCCTCGCGCTTTTCAAATTCTCCCTAACTGTAACAGCCTCAATCCTAAATAACCACCCAAACGTCCCCCAAGCCCACTCAACCATCGCGCCAGCCACTCTACTCGCGATCCCACGTCCCCAAAACTTCTCGCCAAGCCAGTACCCCAGTTCCGCGGAGCGGAGGTAGACGTCGCTTCCGAATTGGAGGGAACAGGAGCCGATGACCGTGTCATCGAGAGCTATGACGAAAAACTGGGGGAAAAGATCTTTCCCATCTTGGCACCTGCTGGTTGGTGGAGATGGATGTTTATCGTCTTTGTTCGTGGAAGGAGAGCTTTCCTCGCCAGTCGAACTCGTAAGGGAAGGATTCCCCTCACCCTCAATCGCGAACCCTTCATCCCGCGTCAGAGATGATGGTCCTCCATTCCCCGTTGGGCAAGGTCCCAAAGGTCCTTTCACACTAACCCAGTTTTCGGGGTTGTTACATTGGCAAATCCACGCTGCGGCATCAGAGGGTGTATATGGATGAGGCATGCGATTGCGGAGTTTTTTCCATACCGAGGGGTTGGAGCCGAGGCGGGATAACGCTGTCGCGTCGGTGGGGAGATGTTGTCTTATTACTAGAGTGGATGATTGGAAGGGGATATGAGCGATTACTATGGGGGGGGGCATGGGGTGGGTTTGGGTTGGGTTGGTGGTGGACTTGGAGGAATGTAGAAAGGATGGAAAATGGTCGATGGGTCGGGTGGATTAACTATCTGGTGGCTCTTCGAGGATAGATGGGTGGATCAGCTGATAGCTCTTTGAGAACGATGGGCCGTCTGCCCGATGGCTCTTTGCTGATGGCTTGGTTGTATGTCTGATAGGATGGGATGGTCGTTGAATACGATGGGTGGGTTGATTAGCTGGTGCTCTTGAGACGTGATGGGTTGTCGGCCTAATACGTTCTGATGCTGGATGTATCGGCTAATGGTTCTTTGAGGATCGTTGAATTGGCTTATGAATGGATGGATCGTACGCCTAATGAACAGGTCAGCAGGTGTCGAGCATACACAATATATCACTTATATTCAGCAATTCCTATATATATGAGATAAATGTCCTCATTGGTCTAGTGGTTATGATTTCCGCTTGTCATACACGTCAAGCGCGGGAGACCAGGGTTCGATTCCCTGATGGGGAGGGAGGATAATCTTTTTTCGCCGCTTGTACGGTCTTTGAGTTTTGGTTGAGGAGCATGCGGGGTAGGGAAAGATTTTACTTCAGCGCCAGCTCGCCTTGGACGACGTCACCAGGGTACGGAACATCGAAGTCTTCAACTGTTGTCGCGGCCCCGTCCTGGGTCTTGGGGAGATTTTACTATTTCGCTACAGTGAACACTGAACGCAACGGCTTCATATTAGTAATGAACAATCAGCACCCCCAATTTAGCTTTCGCGCACTCCTAAACATCTGGATGCATCGGGTCCTCGAAATTCTCCGTACCAGATCGACGTACTATCTTCAGGCTCGACTATATGCCTTCCACCTGCTGCTTTGAGAAGTGGCTTCCTGCTAAACAATCTCCTGAAAATGCTCCAAGATAATGCGACGTTGGCTGCTCGAGCCTGACAAAAAACCTTTTTTCTGTTGCTCGCAGATGCGGCAAGCCACCAAGGAAGCACAATATATCTTTACTCGCCGTGGGCAGGCTGAGTGGACAGACGACAGGGACCTCATCTACCAGGGGCACAAGATGACAATGAACAAGCTTAGAACGCTGGTTCGTTTTGAGCTTAACGCCGCGGAGGAGGCCCTCAAATCCCTCTTGTTCCTGGAGACAGACTCCCAACTCCGTGCGCCCCTGCTCCGACTCTACCCTGCTCGCTTCGAATATGACCTCGTGAATCAAAGCGAAGGGTGAAGCTTCGTGAAGCACCCCGCCAACGACGGCAAATTCCCAAAGCCCAGTATATGGTTGCTCGCCTGCGTTACTGAGAAGCTGGAACTGGCAAGGCAGTTCTGGTACGAAGCGCACGACGAGGGGAAAAGTGGAAGCCGGGGAACAAGTTCCGTCTTTTATCGCTACCCTTCCTGAAACACCTCCTGGAGCTCTTCGGCCTCGTTTGTTTCGTGTCTCGATCGGAGCATGAATATGACTGCGGTAGTCGCACAATGCTGCTGCATCGATATTTGCCCACAGAGGTTGGGCGGCTTGTGATAGCATATATCACACTTGTGGTACCCTTTCTCCGCCACACCATGATGTTCTCAACCAGCAAGTGGATTATGGAGATTTTTTACTGCGGAGCATATCGCTTGACGACAACGACTGGGGTGTTGATCGCCTGAACGAAGTCGTAACGGCAGAGACTCGTCAGTTCCTTAACATGCCAATGGACGCCGAGGTGCTTGGGGGCCTTGCAATCTTCATGTCCAAAAAATACCTTTGGGCTACGAGCTTCAAGAAGGGGAAAGCCGCGCCCACACCGCCCACCGACTTCCAGCAGTTTTCCGCAGGCGGTATTCTTGCAGCTGGACTGCGAAGAAATCGCGTCCGTGTGGAGAACAGTGTTGCCGTGATTCGGAAACAAAACATTGCGTGGCACAGATTCCTTGGCTTCGGTGCCCGTCGACCCCTCGTGGTGTCCGCGTAAGGAAGTGAAACGAGTCCTGCCGATTTCGCATCGACAGAAGCAAAACGGCGCTACTCTTCCCAGAGATGAGAATGGGGAAGGTCATGTATGAGCTCAACCTCGACGGTGACGGGCGGTCGTTCTTGATAGCGACGAAGAATGAGAGTATCCACGGAATCTGATGTCTGGGACTGATAAACAGTAGTAGGATTTTAAACGCGTTAAGTCTTTGGCTGATGCCAGGGAGAAACTCTGTGTACTCGTTTGTGACTATAGGGCATACAAGTGCTTATCTGCTTGGGTGTTATCGTCATCATCAATATTCGACTTTTTGTCGTCACTAGGAAGTTAGACAACCGCTTGTATCGACGCTTTTATATGATTGATGGGACTTCATATTTGAAAATACACAGTCAAAGAGGCAGCTGGCTACCAGCATGCCACAAGGCTCTCTCATGCTGTTTTCGGGAAGTGATCCACGATATTAGCGTTAGATACGTTGCAGAGCGATCACATTGCATATATGCCCCTCACCACACTCCACGTCACGCGCAGCTACAATGTCGTCCCAACCAAACGATATCAACCTGAAACTGGTGCTGGGTATGATTTCCGATATCACATTGACTGCGTTAACACTGCCACAGCATGCGCAAACAAAGTTCACGAGCTGCTCAACAGAGGCATCACCATACCTCCAGACTTGTCAGCCGCAGTCAACGCTGCGATCAACCGCACCCTTCCAATCCCATCGTTAATCTCCCAAGCAAACCAAATTGACATCGCAGGCTGTCAGTTGTGGAACACAATAACTCAAGTTTTACGCAAGGGGGAAATACCCCCGCATTCTGCTGTTCCACTCAGGGTCTTGGCATTTTATCTCCTCGACACAGCATATCAAGTCCTCGCTACACGTTCAAAACGCGATTTCCGGGTTTTAAAGACTGGCTTGAAGACTGGTCGATTCTGTCTAGATAACGATGAAGTCGATCTTGGATTGAAAGTCCTGAAGCGATGCTCTGAGCACATCAACGATGACGAACAGATGGAAGCCGAGTTCTACCTGCTTAGGATGATGCATGCATGGAAGTCCAATCGTCTTGACCAGGTGGATGATCTATACTACAAAGTTCAAGAGCATGCCCTGGTAGTCTCGCCGATTTTGACTGAGCAGGCTGTCGACTTGTGTTATAAAATTGCCAAGGAGCTTATTCCCGGAGACGCTGCAATGAAGTGGCTTAAAAGGGCACTTGATACTCTAGACTTGTGCAATGATTCAACGCATGCAAGCTTGCTTGAGTGGCGTCTTGTTGTTACCACCGCTGCCGTTGATGTCATGTTAGTTGCAGGTAAAGGCATACAGGCCATGGAACTGGTTGAAATCTTGGAGAATCGCGGAATGGACAATCGAATTGCTGTTGCAATGCTTCGTTTGAGAACCATTTCTGCGATTGAGCCTGTTGATCAAACCCAGGTGCACGAGACTATGATAAAGATGCTAAAGCTTGGGGTGCTGACAGAAGGGACATTTAACAGGTAGGCGTTCTTGGCGAATGGCTCAGCTGATTTGTCTAGCATCTTGCGAGCAATTCATAAAGTACGACAGATCTCAATCGACTTGGCACTGGAAGGGCTTCGGCAATTTATCTTTTCACGCCTTTTGCCTGATCTTCCCAGTCGTGGATGGATGGAAGCGGCTGTTGTGACCTTCATCCTGTTTGCTACCTTTCAAAACCCAACCCAGTCCCTGGGAAATTTATTCACGGCTGTGTACAACGCAAGCGGTGCACTGTCTCAACAGGCATCGCACTCTGCGCAAACCATCTTATGGAAGAACGCCGAAAAATGGCTCTCGGTCCTGCAACATCCCTTCATCTTCTCCAACAGCTGCGAAGCAAATCAGTCAAAGGTCTTACGCAAAGCCATGACTATTTACCTCCAACGCGAAGATATCTCTTCCTGCCGCGAAGCGTACCTACGCCTCCCACCTTCGGCCCAAAACGATGCATTGACGCACTACCTAGCCTTCAGGCTAGCCATCGCATCTGGTAACGAAGACCATGCAACACACAGCCTCCAACACATGGCCGTGGAGCATCTCTACTCAGCTGTCATCCACGCCCAAAGGCAGGGGAGTGGAAAGATCGCAATCGCATCCCTAACTCAACTCCTCGAGAGCAAAGACAAAAAAATCAACACCCCCGTCCTACTACGCTGCATCGTCCGTCTCCTCTTATCCGATGGTCAAACCGACCGTCTAATTTCCCTCTTCGAGCGCGCAGCGAGCGAAATACCACGGCACGAAGCCCTCTGGTGGACAAAACAAAGCTGGAACCTTCTCGCCAAAACCCACTCAAACATAGAACCTACGACCCTCTTACGCCTCATTAACTCAATCAACAAGTTCTTCAACCTTTGCACTGACGAAGAACTTCAAACCCGGAAAGAAACCCTCTCCCTCCTCGCCGCGACAGCAAATCTCACCCTCGCCCGCCAAACAGGCGGCGAAGGATTCTTCGCCAAGGCGCGGGAATATCTATCCTCTGAACCCCCCGCGGAGAACCAGCTCGAATATCTCGTCGCAAAAGTAGAGTGTCTTCTTCATTTCACCTCTGAAAGGGATATCGTACAAAACCTCCTGAACGAGATCATGGACCTGCCATATATCGAGAAGAAGGAGGGCGTATACATCCACCTTGCTAACCTCCTCCCCTCCCTTCCCTATATCAACCCCACCCTCCTCATTGAGGTGTTAAAAAAGTGCTGTACCCTCCTCCCACCCGCGCAATCCGCTGCTCCGCTGAGGCGGGTTTTTGACGCTTTAACGTCGCATTCAGGACACGAGGATGTTTTGTTGGAGGTGCTTCGCTTCGCGGTGGGGAAAATAGAAGCTTGGCCGGAAGTGGAGAGGGAGTGGTTCGTTGCTAGGGGGTTTAATTATTTTCTGGATTTGGAGGGGAGAGAGGAGTGGAGGGATGTATTGCTTGAGATGGTGGGGTTTTGTAATGACGAGTTGAGGGGGGTTGTGAAGAGAAGGTTGGAGGGGGATGATACCTAGATTTGGGGTGGGGGTGTGCAGATGGGCCCGGGTTAACGACATGTAATCAGCGTTAGAAGGTATACCTCTTGAGGGACGTGTAACTTGATTGAGAATCTGGGCAGTTTGTAATGCGTTTTATGGAACTTGATTGGGCTTTTGGATATTGTGTGATTTTTTTTTGTGTACTATGGGTCGAAGGATGTGTGCTTTAAGAGAGATAAAGTATAGACTGTGGATGTTTTGATGTACTGATATCCCAGGATACGTACTTTTCGAAGGTTTTCATGCTCCAAAGCTGCAATCCCTCGTGGAATATGTCACGTGAAGTTTGCACCATCACCACATTGCATCGACAAGCTTCAAAACGACAAACACATACCGTTTGTTTGTTCCCCTGAGCAATGAACAGAGCAAAGCATGAGTACAATTTCAATGCTTGAAAAGAACGGCAGATGGTCGGACAATAAGAGCACGCGGAGATGGGTTGACTACAATCGTATAGACAAGTGGTTCAAACCTATCCGAATCGAACATATACCGACAGCTGCGAACAAGGGCATGACTGACGTAACCATGAAGTCCGCGTCCCCACACCTTTCCACTGCCATTGCTGAAATTTGAGACGGCACAACGGCTTCTATCAAAAATCCTGAACGATAGCTGCATCTAACATGACGTTTGTTGTCATCGCCTCCAATACCTCCATCATTCAATATAAAAGTTTCTGGAGCCTATGGGAGAAGTGTCCTGAGCAAGATGGAAACAAGCAATATTGAACGAGGATGCCGCTCCTCGTACATTTCGGTGTTGAGGATAGCCTGGCAGGTCCTCTACAGAAACGATTCTGCTTAGCTCCTGTATGAGGGGAAAGCCCCCTGGCTTGTATCCGATTACCCTCATCATCGCGGCTTCTGCACTTGACTTAGGCTTCGAACTGAAGGCTAGGTTGCTGCGAACACATTTAAACCTGCTGGAGAACATAACCGACTTTAAGAGAAGCAGGTTGATCGCGCCGGGTGTTTCTCGTCGTTTCTGCTCGGAGCTTCACCACGGTCATGGGACGGTTGAGGCTATTATGAAGTTGGTAGAGCGCACCCAGCGCGTCGATGTGAATGTTCGCCGAACGAAAGTACTTCCCGCTTCCTGCACATAACGGTACGCTCCGATCACCACGCACCTAATTATCACTATTGTACTGGACAGCACACAATGCGTCACTAGTGCGTTGTTCCTTGTGGCTGTTTTCGGAGTTTACAGCCATCGTCAACATCTGCATAATTTTATCTACCGCATGGTGAACTTGAACTGCCAGCGGCATACAACCCACCACACTCCAACGATGAATGTTCTTAACCTTCCTGGGAAATACGCATTCAAATATACCGCAAAATCTTTCAACCATGCTGCAGCACCAAAGATTTCACCCTCCTGATGACCTGTCGCAAAATATATAAAGAAGCGCATCTCATCGCCTTCACACGATGCGACTTCAGATTCAAACCCACCCAAGCCTGTCCAGGCATCAGCCGCACACGCCTCTCCGCTTTGCATCTCTCCACCCGCAAATCTCTAAGTCCTTCCCGTCTGCGAAGCCTTACAGGGATAGACAAGAACCCCGGCCCCTCCGAACCCTATCTCGAGCTTGACATGACTTTCGAACTACAAACCGGAATTTGTCAAACCCCTGCAACAAGCTATTCCACAGCCAAGTCTTCTACGCAAGGATAGCCTGGGAGCTTGTCCACGGAGCCCTCTGGTCAGCTCGCGTGATCAGATTCAGTACCATGCTAGAATTTGATCTTGCAGATTCCATCGTCGGGCCCTTTGCGCTACTGACTAAACTAAGGCGCCACGGTTCTTCCATTTCCCGGATGATATGCTTTGGTTCCAACAAATATCCTCGTATGAGGTTCAAACTCCGGCGACTCCCGAATGCGGTGACTGAGTTTGATGTGTTGATCCGTGGAGGGGAGGTGAGAGGCGAAGGGGGATTGATAACAAGACTTGGGAGTGCGAAGAGTTGTGCTCGGTTAAGGGAAGGTGGGAGTTACACTTTCCCTGAGAAAGATCTTAGGCCGCTATGCAGGGAAACTTTGGACACAGATTTCCCATTCAGGTTCCCATGCGGGAAGACAAAATGTCGAGAGCCCCTTGTGCGCTACCGAGGCGTTATCTTGCCGTGGAGGCTCTGGGTTTTGCTGTACAACACCATGCAGCCTACGGACTTTATGAGCATGGAGCTTGTACATTTCATTTTTGCTCCAAGGTGGAATATTGTTACTAGATGGACCGAATGCCCTTGGGGGCGAAGGTATATTCTGTTTCCTTCGGTATAAAAGAAATAATAACGATAATAAATCACAACAGTCTGTCCTTCGCACAATATCTGACGGCGGTGTGCCGACAGGTGTCTATGTAACAAACTGCATAGCCTCCAAATCGGAGAACCGCACCACTGCCTAGTTTTCTCGTACGGAAGAATTTTATCCACACCAGCTGTTTCCGAACCTTTACCCTTCCAAACTCTGAAATGAATATAAACCTGCTATTAGCCTGGTATCCCATACTGTGTTCCGAGTCCAGCAGAAGAAAGGACAACACTCTTGCGACGCAGACGCATACCGCAGCCTCAACGAAGGGAATCTGTGCTACTCAACTGTAGAGTGGAATTCTTTAGAGCCAAATCAAAACCCGTTCCTCAGGGAGAGAGGAATCGCAGTGTGCTGGTTTCTAAGTCATTTTAAAAGGCGCATTGGTACAATCACACTTGTCCACCGGGTCATTTCCCCCCAGCGGTAGATTATAGTCGCTCTCCAGATGGCAGGAGGAGGATAGTAGCGCTTGCACTTTTGATTATGTCCCAAGGTGAAATGCCAGATGGGTCGAATCTCTTTCAAAATTAGCACGTCTGGCACCCTTCGGGAAGTGGCCGCATTCTACAGGGCGATGAGATAATCCATCAAGTCCTGTCAGTCGCAAATGCACTCTCAGTGGCAGGTGTTATAGCGCTGTCATACCAACCAACAAGGACATAACTTGGATGCAACATCCAGGGAGTGGTGGCTGCGTCATCCAGTCCCTGCCTCCCTGTTTTAGCTCTTCATATAGTTATTGAGGATCCCTATGATCCTCGGATACTCCTGTTAGCATCTCTCTGTTGTCATGGTCTGCTAGCACTCTTGAGCTGCGACAATCTCTTCGCTGTGCGTTTGTTCACGGTGCCTTCAGCTCTCTTTAACACTCACTATCTGACGTGCCAACATCATTTAATAGATTTCTCCTTAGCTTGGTTGGAAGAGCGCAAGACTGTAATGCTGACCCATTTGCCCCCGGTTCGATCTCGGAAGGGGGCAATTGTTTTTACACGCAGGTAAACCGCAATCATTGTTTACCATTGGGAGAGATAGGTGGCAATATCTTGGTGCGTTATGTTCCGCCATACAGGAAAGAAATCTGCTTTGGATCGATGACTAGTGTGCTCCTATCACACCATGTGATTTCGAGGTGTAAAACTCTCTCTGAAGTCTCAGCTCTGACTAAGCTAGTGTCGGTGGGTCACCAGCAGTGCAGTACACTCGGAGGCCCATCCTTCAGACACTGTTCTCCATTCCACGTCTTCAAATCATCTGTACAAACGCTAGTAACATGAATCTCTACCAGGCAAAAGCAATGGGATTTCTTGACTTACCACCCAAGATGCGCAACCAGATCTACGACCTGACGTTTCCAGAAGGCTGCAACGGCGGAAACCTTGACCTCCTCCGAACATGCCAACAGATCTACAATGAGGCACACCTTATCGCCTTTTCCTGTTGCGACTTCAAATTGAAACAGCAACAAACTTATCCACGGAACATGGCAAAACTCCTCTGGACCTTGCGCTCACCGACTCACGGGGCTCTGCGCCATCTTACGGTGACTTTTAGCACTATCGAAGACTACCATTCCCACAATCTGTTTAACAAAATTCCTCTCCGCGACTGCAACTTAAATCTCGATACACTAACTTTTGAATTGCGGCCCGGATTCGATCCAACTCCATCCTTCTTCAATTCTTCTACATCGGCTTCTATACCGCTAGTGCGTATGAAACCGCTTCTGGGGCCCTGAAATGTGTACGCGTATCCCAAATTCGAAATATGTTATATCATGACCTAGAAAATTCTTTGGCTGGTCCGCATCGGTTTCTGCCTCATCTCGGTAACACGGTTCTCTCTTTGACCGGGGCCGAGACGCTAGACCTATTGCTACGTAAACCTCGGTCAGACTCAAGATCTGGATGCTGCAAGGCAGGACCGAGTTTGATGTTTACATGCGTGGAGGAGACAAAACTGGAGCTTTAGACGCAGATGAAATGATGGAAGAATTGGAAACCCTCATGGGTGACGACCAGTCGGATATATAGCTCATCTCACCAATATCCGTACTGTTTCACATCTTACAGCGAGGTGCACATACCCTGCCATGGAGTCAGGTCACCCCATACTGAGTCCCAAATCTATGTTAGCTGAAGGAACATAAAACAATCTTGCGACACAGCCATACAACATACCCAGGGACAACGGAAGCCCATGATACCCAGTTGCAGGGTGGCGTTCTTAATGCCAAAGTGAATCCCGCTCTTTAGAGAGATCCCTACATGCCAAGTACAAAACGAAAAAAAAAACCTCCTCCTACACCCCGCATCGATAAGTACTCTCCATTCACATTACCTGTATTTTGGGTTACATGACTCTGTTTACGTCTTCAGTTGGGGCTAAGCTAATGAGAGCAGGTCGCCAAGATTGTCAAGTTCAGCCTTACACAACCATCCCCGCACAATATTGCGCCACTATGTTACTATTGCGGGGAAAGTGTACAAGGCGGATTGACACCTCATCCAAATTCCCCACGCTACTGTACAATATTGAACTACTGTGCACTAGTTATTTCCTGCACACAATCTGCATGCGGTTCCACCATACTTGGGCGCTACTGCCCGATATCGCATTCTCTCTGAGGCACACCCGCCCCGTCCTATCTAGTCAGTGAATGTAACGAACTTCATTACTTTCACAATACTAAGGTATAATTGGCTTCACGCAAAAACTTTCACAATGCCCCCCGCCCGCAAGACAAGACTATTGGATAGCCGGCGCATTCCTCGTGCTCAACATATAACTGTTCAAAATCCATTTCATTGAGCCTTCTTCATCATGTGTCCAGAGTGATCCCTCTGAAGTTTCGCCCTCCACAACCCGTGCCGATGTTCTCCAGGTCACTTTGCAACCATGACCACATAAGTGTTGGACATTCAAAACATCCGAGATGTCTTCTATGAGACTTCGGGTGTAATGACCAGCCGAGGTCAAAAGTTTGTAGCCTTCAGAGCCACAAAATACCTCTTCGGTCTGTAAAGAGGACTCTGTCCATTCTTCCAGCAAAGCCACCCCGATGGACCGCCGGAGAAAGTGCTTGACGCGGAATACAGCTGCCCCATGACCAGTGTACCGCACAAACGACCCGAAAAGACAGCCATACAACCCACTGAGTCGGTTGTACGCCTTGCATTCCCTAGCCTGCCAAGTGAGGCCATAAAGCTTCCGAAAGGTACTGTGCCAATGTGCATCAATCATGAGCACAACATTGATTCGGCTGTCTCCCCAGAGTCAGCAAGGTTTGGCGTAATCGTTGACCGGAAGACCTAGGAACCCGCGGACCAAAGGCGTATTGAAAAGGTCCACAACACGTTTTCCAGGCCGGGTTATATGTGTTTTGTCAACACACCACCAACCTACGGCAGCAATGTGAACTTGCCCGGCCGTGATGGCGTACTTTCGCGCGGTTTGAAGTGAAAGGGCATGACGATTGGTGTGACCAGCATTTTCGCGCCAGTCTTTGTTACTTTCCTATGTTTCAACCATGACACCCAATGGCGGCTTGAACCTCCTGGCAAACAGAGCCACATAACTCAATTGGTCTTTCGCTGAATTTCGCTCAGCCCCCAGAGCTCAGCCCAGATTTTCATCATGTCCTTAGAGCACATTTCGACAGCAATGGACCACGAGTCGATATTTTCGATGTGGGAGGCCCAGAGAAGTTTCGTTAGCATTGCCGCAGTACACCACAGATGCAGAAGTTGTCGGACCTCTGAATGGCGCCAATCGAGGCGTAGAACGAGACGAGGATCAACGGGAGAGCCTGTATGTGCATCCGAAAGTCACCACCCAGCAAGTATTTGTTCCAGTCCATGAACCTCTGAGCGGTGACCATGCTATGAATGCCATCGCGATTGATGGCAACCGCCTGCACTGCCAACTCCTTCCGATCTGGTTTGACCGTCGAGTCCCTGAGAGTCTGGTTCCAAAGAAGCTCTACATACCCGAGGAGAACGTAGTGTAAATTCTCGTAGGAGAAATTCTGGTGAGTGTCAAAGCCAGGGACCTCGTACATCGGAGTCAAGGGCAGTTTGATTTCTGCCTTGTCCGCTTTGACTTTGCCTTGTGGGCTACTGTCTTGGTCCCAAGCTCTGGTCACGCTCGAAACACGTAAGGTGCCACGAGCGATCAAATTGCGCCAGCGTGCTATCCATAACCGATCGCTCAAACACACTCGACATACATCAACTGAACCAGTCCTGCCTAAGCTGGAACTGTTCCATGCAATTTCCTGTCTGCCAATAATTTCTAATCTGGCACACAACTTACAGAGCTTCATCTTCAGCATAAAGCACCCAGACGGCCTTTTCAAGGCAATAGAAACACTGAACAATCTCCACGGGCTGAGAATTCTCATGTAGAAGTCTTCCCCACTGCGTGCACATCCCCACTGCATGCACACTTTTGATCACCACTTCAAACGCAAATAGCACCACACACAACCACTCGACATAGCTATGTACTATATTCTTCGAAAGCGCTTGCTCTAAGGTTTCATATGGTACCCTTGTTGACGGTTAGAGATTCCATCGGAAGCGGGAATGTTGCGATTTATGCCAAAATGCGGACTCGCACACATGACTACCGTACGCCACCATCTCTGGGCCAAGGCGTATGAGGCACCGATCGTTACAATCTTGAAGATATTGACTTTTTTGTTCACCTTAGCTAAGGCGCGCGCGACGTCTGAGCGCGGTGGGTCATCGATTCAAAGTTGATGAAGTCGTCACGATATCGACACGACAACTTTGAATCGACACAACAGATCGCATGCTCATCGCAAACAATCATAAGTACATGCATATGAACGCTGGCAAGGCGTGGATTCCAATGATATGCATCGCAAAGATTAAATCCGTTTTTCATTGTGCCATTTTGCGAGGTTTGATCATGCGCGAAATGATCTCCGAAACTCGCGAAAAATTGAGCCATAAGCTTACGAATATCTATATAAAAACCGGCGGGGTATGATCTTCAAGGTATGGTCTTCTGCCTCAATCAATCAGCTAGTGTTGGAGACGTTCGAATGTCGCGCTACATCGCTCGAAAATCGGCGACTTTCGCGGGGGAGCGCGGGGCGGCTCCCCCACGTCCAACCGCTTGTGCGCCACATGGATGACTCTCGTTTCTCCGACACTGTAGGCAGTTCAAATACGTCAATCCTGTTACTTTTGCGCCTCGAGAGTCCTTAAGAAGGCAATTGGTAGAATGGCAACTCCTGATCCCCTGGCATAAGACGCGTCCAAAGCGACCATAACATTGGAACGGGACAAATCGCCTATTCCGGATCTGCAATACAAACAACTATATCTGTAACAGAGAATAAGATTGCCAGGATGCGTAGATGCATGTAGATGCTCATATAAAGCCATTCCTGCCGGTCCATGTTCCGTACAGACGGTCTGTTCTTCTTTTCCCACTCCGTATCTCTTTCATACCGCTTCCCATCTCTTATCATCATGGACGCTGCCCTCAGCGAACTGTATGCTCTGGTCGAGAATGGCATCAAGCCAAATTTCGCGGATACCGCCAAAAAGCATCTGGTCAATCGTACAATCTTATACAAACGGTAACAGGGCCTCACGGTGGATCGAGACACCGCATTGAAGGCGCGCAGGAGCCTGTCACAGGAGCAAGAGGAGCTGATCAAGTACATCAGCTTCATGTGTGATTGATGCTTGCCTCCCTCGCCAACCATCGTGCTGAAGCTGGCGCAAAGCATCTGCCAACAAGATCTTGGAAAGAACTGGCCCGGTCGGTTTGTGGAAAGAAACCGGAAGAACCTTGATTGTCGGTACCTGAATGGTATTGATCTCTTGCGTCATAAAGCCGACTCTCGCGAGAGCTACCGGGCCTACTTCGAGGTGCTGGAGAAGAAGATTCAGGGCCTAGAAATCCAGCCGGAGAATGTGTACAACATGGATGAAAAGGGGTTT